AGAATAGCATATGTCTGGTCGTGTTATTGTCAAGTAAAGGAGCCGACCGACTAGCCTCCTGTATTGTGAAGGATCTGGTATAGGTGAACCAGATGCAAGCCCAAGACGATGATGCTGCTCCATGGGAAAGGAACTAGGCTTTGCCCCAAGCATGCCTGATTCCGTGAGTATGTCGAGAGCATACTTTCGCTGGCTCAGAACTATCCCTTTTGTTGTTCTAGCTACCTCAATTCCAAGAAAATATTTTTAGGGACCCAAATCCTTTATAGAAAATGCAGAATGAAGATAGTGTTTTAAGGTTGCAATTCTAGCTCCATCATTGCCGGCGATGACAATATCATCAACATAAATTAATACTGCAACAAAATTATCAGCAATGGCCAATGTGAATAAGGAATAATTTGCCTTCGATTGCTTAAACCCAACTGCTTTAAGAGAGGTTGTAAACTTTTCAAACCAATTCCTAGATGCTTGTCGTAGTCCGTAAAGTGATTTCTGCAACCTACAAACTTTGTTGCTCTGGTTGCAAGTAAAACCTTGTGGTATTTTCATATATACCTCTTCATGTAAGTCACCTTGCAAGAAGGCATTATTGACATCTAATTGATGTAGTTCCCAGTGCTTAATCGAAGCAAGAGCCAGTAATGTCCTCACAGTGACCATTTTAGCAACATGAGCAAAGGTCTCATGAAAATCAAACCCTTCAATTTGAGTGAATCCCTTCGCTACTAAGCGAGCCTTGTACCATTCAACAGTTCCATTTGGCTTGAATTTGATCTTATAGACCCATTTGGAATCAATTGCACGTTTGTCAAGAGGCAATGCCTCAATTGTCCAAGTGCCATTCTTCTCAAGTGCAGCAACCTCCTGCCTCATTGCTTTTTGCCAGTTTTCATTTTTAATGGCCTGAGAAAAGGATTTAGGCTCATCTATGGAAGAGATGGTTGCTAAATAACTAAGATGAATGGATGAAAAGGAATTGTAAGAGACACAATTAGATAGAGCATAAGGATCACCTGAGTTAGTTGATTGAGATGGAGCTTGCATAGGCATAACAGACTGGAGCATGGTGCAAACATAATCATCAAGCCTTTGAGGGACATGCCTCTCACATCGTGGTCGAGGAGGTCGGACTACTTGATCTTGATCTGGGTGGTTTGTATTGGTCTCCAAATCAATGTCAGCAACTTGTGCTTCTTCCATTGTTTCGGACTGGTTTTGGTTAACAATGGTCTACTCTAAGACACTATCATCAGAAGCCAAAAAATGAGTTTCCAAGTTGGGTGGAGTGATACCAGGGGAAGGTGAAGCCACACAATCTTTATAATTATGAATAGATGCATATGGGAAGATTTTCTCATAAAAAACTATATCACATGAAATGAAAATTTGATTAGTTTCCAAATCATAAACTCTATAACCCTTTTGTCCATAAGGGTAACCGATGAAAATGCATTTTGATGCTCTAAAGTCAAATTTTCCACGATTCTTAGTGTGATTATGAGCATAGCAAAGACACCCAAACACTTTTAAATGTGAATAACCAGGAGTTTTACCAAAAAGTTTTTCAAATGGTGTGAGACTCGAGAGAATAGGGGTAGGAGTTAAATTTATTAAATAAGCTGCAGTGAGAACACATTCACCCCAAAATTTCAAGGGTAAATTAGCTTGAAATCTGAGGGCATGTGCAACCTCAAGGAGGTGACGATGTTTACGCTCAACAATGCCATTTTGTTGAGGCGTATAGGCACATGATGTTTGTTGTATGATACCTTTCTTAAAACAAAATTCTTTCACGACTCCTTTAGTGAACTCTTTGCCATTATCACTGCGTATTTGTTGGACACTAGTTTGAAATTGAGTTTCAATCATATGGCAAAAACTTATCAAATATGATGCAGCTTTTGATTTGTGCTTTAAAAGATAAACCCATGTGCATCGTGAAAAATCATCAACAATGGTTAAGAAATAGTGTGCTCCTGTATTAGATTGAGTGGCATACCTACCCCATATATCACAATGGATTAAGGCAAAACAGTGGGTAGAGACATTATTGCTAATAGGAAAAGGCAATCTTGTTTGCTTGGCACGATGACAAGTGTCACAAACATGCTTTATTTTGCTTAAACATGTAGGCAAAGAAATTACTTTGGCTATTCTTTCTATGGATGCATGACCTAGTCGCTGATGCCACAACTCCAAGGATGTGTCCTCCTTTGGCTTGGTGTGACTTGTTGCAGCAACATGCCCAAAGTCACAATAGTATTACCCTCTGCGAAAGTCACAATAGTATTACCCTCTGTGAAGCTTACCCATTCCAATCAACTTCCTCGAGGCTAGGTCCTGAAAAACATAAAAGTCAGGGAAGAAGATCACAGCACAATTAAGTTGCTCTGTTATCTTGCTTATAGAAAGGAGATTGCATGCAAATTGAGGAACATGAAGAACATTGTTCAATGTAAGTTTGTTTGGCAATACAGTCTTTCCTATGCTAGACACTTCTAAGGTGGTGCCATCGGGAATATGAACTGGAGAAGAGTAAGGTTTTATGTCTTGAAGTATGGAAATATTAGGTGTCATATGGTCTGATGCACCACTATCAATTATCTAGGGAATTAAGTTTGTTGCCTTACTAGCTAGGTTGATGGAATGTTTAGGAGTAGAATTACCACCAAGAAGCATGAGGAGTTTATCATACTACACTTTAGAAAGTCCTGCAATTGGTGACTGATCCAGTGAATCTCCTGCCATCTGTGACTCATGTGATGTATTGGCTGCAAAAATCAACTCTTTCTCCTGATGTTGATGCTTTTGGTGCTCCCCCTTTCCCTTCATTTTGGCTGGCCCTATCTTCCAACCAACTGGGTATCCAATGATTTCATAGCATCTCTCTTTAGTATGACCAACCTTCTTGCAATGATCACAGCGTGGCTTCCCTGACATGGAAGATTTCCCAGTGTGGTTCATCTTTGCTGCTAAGGCTGTTGCTTCTATAATTGGACTTCTAGATGCAGCCACTGCTTGTTGCTTCTCCTCTTTAGTAGTCATTGCATACACCTTATTCAGTGATGGGAGGGGTTCTGTGCTTAAGATCTGTGATCAAACAGTTGAAAATTTCTCATTCAGTCCCATGAGAAATTGATGGACTTTCTCTGTTTCTCGTGCCTTCATATACTCCTTTGCTGCACCACATGTACAACCACAAGTGCATGTCGGCATTGGCTCATTTGCTTGTAGTTCATCCCATATAGGCTTCAATTTTGTGAAATATGCTACTACTGATCTTGACTATTGTGTGGTGGTTGCAAGTTCAAGTTTTAATTCATGTACCCGAGATGCATTTCCTAGTGAGAAATGTTCATGTAAGTCATTCCAAACCTCAGCAGCACTCTCCACATAGGCCACACTTCCTTGCAAGTCCCTAGAGAGAGCATTAAGTAACCATGAAAGCACCATAGAATTGCACTTTGTCCAAGCCTGATACTCTGGGGAATCTGTGTTTGGTGTCTTAAAGCTCCCATCAACATACCCCATCTTGTTCTTTGCAAATAAGGCATTTTGCATACTCCTTCTCCACGTGTGGTAATTCTCCTCGAACAAGGAAGTCGTGACTAAGACCCTCCCTGGATCATCACTGGAGTGGAGAAAATAGGGTGAATCTGGATATGTTGTCTTAAGGATACCTATCTCTCTCTTTTCCATTTTGGATCCATTCTTGGCTGTAGTGTCAGTCATGGTCGATTGTTGAACGTAGCAAAACCTTGCCATCGAAATCGATTGTTTGCAGCAAACTCTTGCTGTCGATTGAACCTTCACTGCTCTGATACCATGATAAAATCAGAGTATGAATGGCAATGATATGCGCATGAAATCAGTACTTCTCATTGTGATTGCAATATACATATATACAAACTGTCAACTATAATCAAGCCTAAATCAGTGATTCTATACAAGGAATGCATTTATTGGTATGAACAGCAAAATATTAGAGATTAATGTTGATTGATTGATTTCATTATTCATCTCCTTGATATCCGGCTATAGAGGCCTAGTTCTAACCGTTTCAGGGAATGTTTAGGACATCCACATTTCAGGTAGGTGCTATAGCTTAACAGTAGTAGCCACCTAAGATAAAAGGTTTGATTGTTCTTTCCTAGGTAGCAGGGTAAATACCATCTAAACGGCTAAACCAGAAATAACAATGATGTCAGGCACCTACAAGCTCCCTGAAATTTAGCATAGATTCACCAGCAACAGAGCAATACTTCTCATGCCAGAAGTTCTAGTTTTAAGAACATTAAAATGATTCAAGGTTTCCCATTTGATCAAATCATATATGTTCTCTGAAAGCAAATTAAATAATCATTTTAAAAAGCATGAGTTCTTTGTAATTTATGACTTTGTAACATCATGAGGAATAATATGAATAAATGAAGCCATGGAGAGAACCAACATTGCATTTCACACATATCACTAGAGAGCAATTAACAAAAGCATGCAAAATAAAGAGTTTAATTAAACTTTTTAATCCTGTAATATTCTTCAGAAATGCAAACGAATGACTTGTCTGCAATTCATTAACTAATCTTTCCTTAGTATTAAACTTGGAAAGAAAGAGCTGCTCTAAAGAGGAACACAAGACACACATAATGTGTAAAAGCAGAGAAGTAAATGATATCCAACAACAAAAATTAAAGAAAAAAAGAAAAATGCAAGAGTATAATGGCAATGAAATGCAAAGCCAACTGCTGCTGCTGCATACAGCCGCTAGATTTACCATATGACCAAGTTGGATATAGGCCAAAGAATATATAGTATTCCTTGGTTAATAGATGGTAGTGTTGATAATCTCTATCTATTAGATTTATATGATTAGATAATAAGATTCATGCATTGTCTTCTACTAATTAAATCAGATGAAACAGTGAAGTAGGTTTAGTTGTTTAGCTGTTAATAACCTATGGTCATAATCACAGGCACCCCTTTTCTTCAAGAAGTCTCTTCTAACAACATGAGACCAACTAAAAAAAAATCTTATGATTCTTATTGTTTACAGAATGTGGAACTGATTCTTATTGTTTACAGAATGTGGAACTGCTATTAAAGCCTTTGAATTTGCACCCAGTTCAGTCGAAGACAATTTTTGACAAATTTGCTGTTGTCCAGATTCTCCAGGTAATTTCTTTGCATGTAATGTACCCAAAGCAAATTTCATTAGTTCATTATTTTTCATTTTGCAGCAATAATGGAAATTAATGTTTCTATAGCATGCATTTTAATGATATATCTTTTTGAAAATTGGAACTTCACTCTCAATTTTATATAAAAGTATAAAACTATTGGTCTGCGATTTCTAAAAGGGCAATGTTTATGAATTTTGAAGTTTTTATCATGAACATTCAGATTGACTACACCAAGTAGTAAAAAGTGTTGGAGTTTTCGGTGAAAAGGAAGGCACTTGTAGGAGAAAGGGAGAAGCACCTGAAGTTCCCCCTTTTGATGAGGTGAGAACCCATTTTTTTTCATTCATTGTTCTGCTATTATATAGCAGAAAACTTAGTACATAAACAATACCTAATACTTATCCATTAAGAGAAAAATCTACAAAACATTTAATGCAAAATTACATTAAAAGTCTTGCTACCATTTGTGCAGCTCCATGTGGCTGGAACTTTGCAACCACTTTGCAGCCTTCATTGTAGCCTCATTTCCTTTCATTTGCTGCCACTTGTGCAGCTCCATGTGGCTGTACTTGCTGCTACTTTGCAGCCTTTCATTTTCATTTCATTACAACCTCATTTCATTAACATTTGTAGCATAGTTTGCTGCACTTTGCTACTACTGTGCTTTGGTGCAGCTCTCCCTTCATTTCATTTTGCTACCACCTGTGCAGCTTTCTTTCCATTTGTTGCCTCTTGTGCAGCTTTGACACCATAGCTCCAACACTCCTCCTTGGTGTTAAAGCTACGGGAAAGAAGAAATTTACCAAAGCATTTGGAATCTGCCATTTTGCAATTCTTTATGCTTTGGTTTGGTTTCTTGTTGTTGCTAAAGCATCTCCTTTAACAGATCAACTCCTCTTTCAATATTACAGCTTCATCTTGCTTGGATTTGCTACTTTAACAAACTTTTTGGAGCTTTGCTAAGCTTTCTTGTGAGTTGCTCAATTTTCCTTTTTGTATCTACAACTTCCTCAGGATCATAGGTCAGATTCAACTTTTTGGTGAACATGACTTGATGCATGCTCTAAGTTTTCTTCCTTTCTCAGGCTGCAGCCTTGACAGATTTTTTTTTCCCTTTGGACTGTTGGCTTTAGAATCCATGGACACCTTCTCTTTGAATCCAGCTTTCCTATCCTTGACATCTCCCATGGTGGGACTAACACATGCCTCCATCTTCACAGTCTTTTTTGCTGCAAGATTTTGGCCAAGCAATAGGGATTTCCCATGAAAAACCATCTAAAAAAGAAAGAAAGGTGGGGTTCTTTTTTTTTTTTTTTTTGGTGTTCACTTAAACTCACTCTCAGGGGTCCCTCAAGATCATTTAAGCTCTGATACCACGTTGGAGGAAATTTATGGTGAAAAAAAGGAAGATTTGAGAGAGGACTTGGAGGAGAAGGAGGGCACTTGGAGTTCCTTCTTTAGTTTAGGGGAAAACTCATTTTTTTCATTCATTTTCTGCCATTATATAGCAAAAACTTCACAGTACATAAAGGTAATTTTCTCACATAATACTTATCTAATACATTTAACGCAGAATTACATTAAAGGACTTGCTTCCATTTGTGTGGCTCCATGTGGCTATTCTTGCTGCTACTTAGCAGCCTTCCATTTGCTTTCATTTGCATTACATTTCAGCCTCATTTCACAACATTTCATCAACATTTTGCAGCATAGGTTGCTGCACTTTAATACTACCGTGCTTTGGTGCAGCTTTCCCTTTTTTTCATTTTGTTGCCACTTGTGCAACTTTGACACCATAGCTCCAAATGGAAAGAGATTCGCACAAGTGGTAGCAAAATGAAATGAAGGGAGAGCTGCACCAAAGCATGGTAGCAACAAAGTGCAGCAAACTATGCTGCAAATGTTAATGAAATGAGGCTGTAATGAAATGCAAATGAAATGAAAATGAAAGGCTGCAAAGTAGCAGCAAGTACAGCCACATGGAGCTACACAAGTGGCAGCAAATGAAAGGAAATGAGGCTACAATGAAGGCTGTGAAGATGGAGGCATATGTTAGTCCCACCATGGGAGATGTCAAGGAGAGGAAAGCTGGATTCAAAGAGAAGGTGTTCATGGTTGTTCCAAAATCAATCTAAAAGGACAAAACATGGTTGATGGAATGTCAAACTGAGCACAAAAAACTCAGTTTCGTGGTATGTTCTTCACCAATCTTTTATGTTGGCTATGGTTATTTTTGAGTTTAACTCTTCATGGATGTGGATGTGATGCTCTAAACTTCCACGGGCTCATGGCAAAGAATGTTTGGTGGAGATGATGGCAAAGGAAAACTAAGCAACTTACGGGAAAGCTCAGCCAAGCTCCAAAAAGATATGTTAAAGTAGCAAATCCAAGTAAGATGAAGCTGCAACATTGAAGGAGGAGTTGATTTGCTAAAAGAGATGCTTTAGCAACAACAACAAACCAAAACCAAAGCATAAAGTATTGCAAATGGCAGATTCCAAATGTTTTGGTAAATTTCTTCCTTCCCACAGCTTTAACACCAAGGAGGAGTGTTGGAGCTGTGGTGTCAAAGCTGCACAAAAGGCAGCAAATGGAAAGAAAGCTGCACAAGTGGCAGCAAAATGAAAAGAAAGGAGAGTTGCACCAAAGCACAATAGTAACAAAGTGCAGCAACCTATGCTGCAAAATGTTGATGAAATGTTGGTGAAATGAGGTTGAAATGTAATGCAAATGAAAGCAAATGGAAGGCTGCAAAGTAGCAGCAAGAACAGCCACATGGAGCCACACAAATGGAAGCAAGTCTTTTAATGTAATCTTGCATTAAATGTATTAGATAAGTATTAGGTGAGAAAATTACCCTTATGTACTGTGAAGTTTTTGCTATATAATGGTAGAAAATGAATGAAAAAAACAAGTTTTCCCCTAAACTAAAGAGGGAACTCCGGGTGCCCTCTTTCTCCTCCAAGTCCTCTCTCAAATCTTCCTTTTTTAGCACCGAAAATTCTTTAACAAAAAGTTTTAAAGCATCAAACCTAAGCACCATTGGAGTTTGGACTCACTCTCTCGTATACGCATTGAACAGGATTACTTGGATTATGTGAACATGTAGGTGAAGTTGGGCAACAATGAGTGAGATGTGTCTTCGTTGGATATCTAAAAGTTAAAACATTCTAACAATCTCACCCCATTGGGAAAACATGAGTGGCTCTGGAATCAGAAGGGAAGGCTTGACATCAAATTGATGCTATATACCATTAAGTGTAAGAACTCATGATATCCACGTAAAATTAAAACTTTTAAATAAAAATATAAAATTAATATTTTTAAATAAAAAAAAATTAAAAATTTATCACTTAAATTAAAAATTAATAAAATTCCCATTATTAAATAAAAAATTATAAAATTGATATTCTTACAGGTGTACTTTTTCTCCTTGGGTAACACTCCAGCAAAAAGTGTCACCCCCAGTGTTAATTCCTTTGGAGAGGGTCTAATGTTGATACGAGAAGTCCTTGTGTGTAATGTAATGAATTCAAGCACCCAGAAAAAACTAGATCTAGCATAGCGAGGTCCTTACCCACAAAGTTGGGGACCTGGAGTGGTCACATCATTTCCAACTGCTGCGTTGGCAAAAAAAAAAAAAAAGAGTATAATTTCATATCTACTATTTTTTTAATATTTAATTTAATTTTAAAAAACTTCAAATAATGACATAATATAATGTGAAAAAAGTATTTTATAAGATCTTGATTATTTATACAATATATTATCCATTATTCAAAGATTTTTTTTTTTTCGCTTAGACATGACTTATGTTGAAGTGCTATTTAAGTATAATTTTATTGAAAATGTTGTATAATGTAATTATATAGCATGTTCATAAGTATAAAAGAAAATGCTTTTAAGGAGTGATTTAATTAATTAAAAATTTGAGATTTCGAATTAGAGATTTTAAATTTAAACCTTAAGTTAGATAAAAAAGAATTGAAAAAAAAATTATCCCTTTTATATAATTCATTATCTAATGTAAAAGTATATATTTATTGGAAAAATATTCAATATTCATATATAGATCAAACTTTTAAGATGTTAAAAGATTAAAAAATTTATAACTGCAACTACAAGTTAGTATTATGAAATTAAACTTTAAAAGAAATTTTTTTTCCAAATCTTTTATATTATATCCTGTGCATTTTAAATTTTAATGCTTAAAAAAGAAACACTATAGCATTAAAAAAAAAAAACACTATAAACACTATTTTTTGCACTCTTCTTCACCATTTATAATGTAATTAATTCATTTTGTGGTACTTTTAAATTTAAATAATATATTATATAAATTAATGATAATAAATACATATAACATGAATCAATTATGTCTGGATGCTTGGTGAAGGGTGCAGACAAAATTGTTGCCCCTTCTCACATTTAAAATTTTAAAGATATATCCTTCAAAAAAATTACTAATAATAATAATAATAATAATAATATTATTATTATTATTATTATTATTAATGATGGGACATGGAAGGTTAGTTTCGGGATCACCGACCTTGGACGTACCGTATATCTGTTAAGCTCGATCTTCCCTCTGATTTGGTGAGTTCGGTTAGTAAATAACAAAAGTGAGTATGTACCAAACAGCCGCCTGGATCACTTCATTATTGGGCCCTTTTTTTTTTCTCTTTTTTTTTTGTAATCTTTACATGAATTTTTTTTGGTACCGAAGCTTGATTATATATATATCGTTTCCATTTTTTTTTTTTCCTTTTCCCTTTTTGTTTCTTTCTTTTATAGTTAGACTTGGTAATTTTTTACCTAACCCGTTAACCCACCCATTATCCGTCCGTTTAAAACGGGTTAGTATCATATATTTATGATCCGTGATCCGTTAATAACCCGTTAAGTGAATCTAACGGGTCACGGGTTAATAACGGGTTAACTCATCGGGTTAATGGATTTGACCTGTTTACCCGTTTAAAAATATAAAATTTTTTAATTTATTATTATTATTTTTTTTTAATCCCCAATCCCACCTAAACCTCTAATAATTGATTAATATTCCCTAATTAACTAATTGATTCTCTTGTTTCATCATCTTCTATAAGTAAAAATAATCACATTCCACTCATAACTCACCTTCCGACCTTTCCTATTCTTACTTGCCTTAATACTCTCGAAGACTTTAACTCTTCAGACTTCAAACTCTTCTCATATTCTTCAACCTTCATAGTTCATACAGTCTTTGACTTTCAAGTTTCGACTCCACCTTTTCTCTTTAGTCTTTAATATTTCAGACTTAAATCTTAGTCTTATCAAGTCATCGTTACGTCCACTCAGCCTTTTCTTTTTTTCTTCTATGAGTACGACAAGTGCTTTTTTTGTCACCAACTTTTCTCTTTAAATACTTCAAGGTAAGTTGTTTACTTATTTATACTTTTTAGTTTTTTTTTCCATTCCAAGTAAAAATTTTACTTAATTTCTCCTTTACTTATTTAGATGCATTCAATTGATTATTCTTTGAAAGCAATGACCAAAACAAATATGTTCCAATGGGGTTTGTGTTTTTTGGTTGTCGTGCTACTATTGCTTTT